ACTAATGATCAACCTACTGCAAAGTCCTTAATGTTTAAAACAATTAATGTTTAAAACAATTAATGTTTAAAACAATTAATGTTTAAAACAATTAATGTTTAAATACAAAGAAACTGGGCCTACGGAGTTAAAGTATCAAAGTTGGAATCCAACAAAATAATAACATTTGAAAGTGAATGAGATCTTGGTTTCTGGAGTATGCAGCGTGAACCCATAACACAGAAACAAGGGAAGCAAGCTGACTTATCTTTGGGGCAAATGTGACGTGGGTAATTACTAAATGTTGGAGAAAACTCTCTCATGATATGACTTGTTGAGTTTGAATCGTGCCCGGAATAAGTTGAGTGGCTAATGAGCCAGATAGGAATGTCTCCTAATCGGCTTCAAATGTCAGTAAACTTATTTCTAATGGTATTTTCTTTTTCTACTTTGCTACGAGATCCAACACCATCATAAAAGAGATATGGAGCCTTTAATGCGGAAAGAAAAGAGAGTGTTATTTCTTGTTGCGCTATTACATTAACAGATACCGTAGTCTATGAGTCGCTATTTGTATCAGAGATGCATCTGAAATTAAATTTTGTTGAAATATTCAACTCGTAATTATGATTATCAAATATGTTAGACTTTTTTGAAACATACATTCTGGCAGGTAGGCCTAATAAAATAAACTGCTTTTTCATAACGAACACCAAAGACATACTTGCCAAAGGTCATGATATACCAAAAATCAATACCACGTGCAATAGTGATGATACTGATGATGACTTAATAGAAATTATAATAATGGTGGTATACTTAATACATTAAAAGGTAAATGCGATAATATTAAAAGTACCTGTAGTTGAGCATGCAGGTTTAATCCGCTGTATACGAAAGCGCCGCTAATGAAGAGCATCTCAACCAGTGCGGCTCCGGTTTGCCGTTCCTGTGGGACATGCTACTACTACTTTGTTTATGTATCATATTCCCCGCAGCCCTTTAATTTTTGAAGTGAAACTCTCGACTGTCATATTGCATTTTACCAAACAAACGAAGTCCTTAACAAATGTATTTGGTTCAGAAATGATTTGATTGCTACTATAGACCTATCGTTTGTAGAACCAGTTCGTATGTTTAAAGAGACTTCAAAAAGGCATATAAAGTCACGATAGGCCTAAGTTAGAACCTGAATAATTCTGAATGTCTTTTAAGTTTCTTTTTTCCGCCAAAAATGTTTGTATTCGACTTAGGCCTTACATGCTTTTTATGATTGAATGGAACCCGCTTTCCATCGACTAGAATTTCCAGCTTCAACGCCAAGTAGGCCTAACAGTAATCGACATTCCATTGAACTTCGGAGTAATTGGTGTACTGCATTAATTAGATTGTGTTACAAAACATTTTAAATGAATGTGGTTTGTATTTTTCATTTATTTAATCGTCGCCTCCGATCAGTTTCATTTAATTAGGCCTACAAGACTCTGCCATATAAAGGCATTCCACGATCTTTTACATCATTAGAATTGGCGCCAAACAAGTTAGAGTATTAATATTTGCCAACGCTGCCCGCACAACGATTATATTAACGCCGGCGAACGTTTCCGTTATGTTAAGAGGAATTTGGCAAAATGCGAATCTGAAAAGATCAATAGAATATTTAGACCTAGGCCCTATGCCTATTATTTGGGGAAAAATTAAATAGTCAATTAGGTACGATAAATGTAAATGCCTATTTATTTTTGGAGTTTGCATTCTCTGGTGAACGTACGATACGATATCGTTTTCTATTCTCCTGACTCTTATAATCCGATTTAGATTTGTTCAACAAGTAAAATTGATGATGTAAAATCAGAGAGCTTTCTATTTTGACACGATTAAGCTTACGTCACTTTGTGAACCATGTTGATCAGCGGAGGTGTCCCATAGCAGCCAACTGATTCCCGTAGATTAATAAACTGAAATCTGGTTGTACTTGACTTGGTTGCCAATATACAATATTTAAAAGAATTAACTGGACTGCTAGGATAACGATCTTCACTAAAATGTTCAACTCTACTGATTTTTAGGTGAGAAGTTGACGAATGGCAATCAAGATCACCAACTGCAAAACGTGTATGTAGGCCTCTGCTTAACTTTCACACAAATTGAATTATACTACCGTAGTAAATACAATTTATAATAAGAGCTAATTCTGCGTAACACCAGTAGTACTATAATATAATTCGATCTGCTTTGTTTACCTTTCCACCTGGACATCGTTTTGTAGCGATTTGTTTGTCGGTAAACACACTCGTTTTGGGATTCAACATGATACCTCTGCGGCAAACAACGCAAACCAGGATTCGAACACGGCATCTTCTACCGTATATTTTGCTCTCTGTGCAGGAGATTCCGCCTTAGCCAACTGAGCCACTGGTACTTTCGGCGGTAGTACGAATACGATTAGACGTCATTGATTTTACATTTAATATAGGCCTACGCTTAGAATATATTAAATTGAATATAAAAAAAATAAAGGATCAATGTTTCGCGTCTGTCATGGACACATACTCAAGATCAATATCAATAGAATAAATCATATGGACAAAAAGATGATTTTATATAGGCCTATTTTTAGTTCATTATTAAATTTTGTTAAGATTAAATAAGCCTAGTGTTAATTCTTATTATTTGGAATATTATTATTGTTTTACTGTATGCGGTATATCCTACAATAAACTGCACATGGAATTGCAGAGTCACTGACTTGATATCTATATAGAATTGAAATTTAGAGAAAAAAATTACCGAGAATAGAAGGATGCTCCTAGTTTATCAACAGGGCGCAGGGACTGGATTGTAATCTAAAGTGACATGTTTTACCAGCAATGATAGGTCCCAACTTGATACTCTGGGGTATTCGGGAAACGTTTGCTCATGGATGTGAATCGTAACCGGTGTTAACAGATTTGTAAAAATTCTACAAAACGTTTTGCTGTTAGCGAAACTGATGAAATAAATCTGATATTGTCAGAGTTCACACAGAATGGAGGATATTTTAAGCCGGGCACTCACTGCGTCGTACGGCGGTCGCACGACCGTCGCACGACAAATCTAACTTCACTCCGTGTTAGTGCTAGACGACGCGACGCCGCCTGCTGATTGCCGGTGGCAGTCTGGACGGATCGTCATTAAAAACGATCCGTTGCGCGCGCTTCGTCGCGTTACGTTAATGGAATCGCGTCAGCCGATGACTGTTGGGCGCAGTGAATATCCGGCTTTAAACAGCGCGATACGGTCACGTGTTGCTTATAAGCTAATAAAAATTAAGGAATAGGATAACGAAAATAAAAAGAAAACATTCGAGTCTTGAAACACTCAGAATGCTAAAGTCTCTAGCCAGCAACTCATAATGTCCTGCCTCTGAGTTTTCAATATGAAAGAGATTTAACCACATAATGAAAGTGCATTCCAGTCTTGTTTGCTATGGTTTCCAGTCTCTCTCGCAAACGAATTTATTCAATTAAAAACGCCTTTGGATATAAATACATGTAAAGGAAAATGACTTCTAGCAGCAAAGCTTTCTTTTGAAAACTTTCATTATTCTGGTGTTATCCACCTTTTGCAATTGGAACTTTTTTTGTTGAAAACTGGATTAACCAAACACATTCGGTTATTTGTACATTGTGAGTAACACTTTTAGGTTTTGAAGAAACCCATATAAACTACAGGTTATTAACAGAACTATTATCAATTTAGCATACGTTTAACCACAATGAAACTAAAGATGTATTTGCCGAACCTAAAATATTCTGAGCACGGGCTGCCGTGTGTTGGAACCAATGACCTGTTGACCTTATGGATAGTTTTATTTTACCACCAGACGATCCAGTTTGCGCTGACGGTTGACGAGAATTCTGTTAAAGGGGTTCGAATCCTCGAGAGCCGTCCGCGCAAACTAAATGGTCTGGTGGTGACGGTTGCCGAGAATTCTTTTTTAAGTGGGTTCGATTCACTTGAGATTCTTCTGTTCTTTATTGACGCAAAATATTGAGTATTGTATACAGTAAATTAAGGTCATAAATGCTTTCCATGTTGTAAAGTTTACGTTGATAGGACTATGAATTTCATCATCTATTGAAAATAAAACTCTCGGTATTCTTCAATAGGAAAATTCACGTTGTGCTATAATCCACATAGGCCTATCATTGCATTGGAAGTTCAAAGATAAAAGATGCCGCGACCAACCATAGAATTGCGTATTGCTGTATCCATATTAAGAACAAAGTTTTAAACAAAAAGTAGGCCTAAGCCTTATTGCATCATATTCTGCTGAATGTAAAAAACTGAGACCCAGAAAGTAGAAAAAAGTAAATTAGGCCTATTATTTCTCGGAGATAAAAAAAAGTAAAGCTTGACTTGGGAAACGTAAAGTCACGTTCATTACCCGACAGCACATGTGGTATTTTTATAGTACAATACTAATTTTAACCATTGGTGTGAATAATTATTTGCTTGTAGCAATACCTTGTCTTGAAATTGATGACTGTGTTTGTAGGCCTGTGTGATATATGTCAAGTGCATTTGCTTAGCGAGATAAGGTTGATGTACGATTAAACACACGAGCCACTACTACAAAGCCTACGATTCTTCCGGTCATTTTGTTCACGCACCTTGTTAGTAGGCCTATATAAACCAAAGTATACAAGGCCTATTTAATATATTATATTTATATACTTATTTATATATTTAAATATATATGCACATATACATCATATATATAGCATATACCTGTCTCTTATACACATCTTGTTTTACCAGCAATGATAGGTCCCAACTTGATACTCTGGGGTATTCGGGAAACGTTTGCTCATGGATGTGAATCGTAACCGGTGTTAACAGATTTGTAAAAATTCTACAAAACGTTTTGCTGTTAGCGAAACTGATGAAATAAATCTGATATTGTCAGAGTTGTTTATATAACCCACCGATTGAGTTTAATGTCCCAAATTCTGGTCCTAAAACGTAACGATATGCTCGTCTATTACCGTTATTATGTTGAGATAACCGAAGCTTTGCAGGTGATCGTATTGCCTGTGTTTTAATACCACCAGGGGCCTAGTTTCGAGTCTTTGCTGCGCCGTCACCGTGCGTTAAACTACACGACGACGTGTTCTCATTGCAACATCACAGTAGTATTATTTAACATCTGACATCCTATCATTTATGTTTAGTGATTATTATGATTTACATGACCCAGACTACGAGGCACGTGGTATGTATGACGTATGCTTCTATCATAGATCGCCACAAAAATATTGTCGAAGAAATCGTCTAATCTAACGTCGTTAATTTACTTTCTTTGATTATAATAAAGGGCAAAGTTTATGTGTAGACACGAGATGAAATGGTTTTGAAAAGTGGTTTTTATGAGAAAAAATATTACTGTGCTAGCTAATGTGTACATTCTCCTTGGTATTTATGTGGCTGTACAACGTCATATAAGCATATAGTTATGGTAATTCTAATAGGTCTACGGAAATTACGAGTAAGTTATTCCACTTAACACTTCTTAAAATAATTAATTAGCATACAAAATGTGTAGTTCACACACAGGAGCATAAAATATACCAAATAATAGTTCTAGTTCCAGACTTATATGATGTAGACGATGATATCTGAAAATAAGATTTTGATTAGATTAGTGTGTTGACGACGAACGTCACGATCTACTTACGGACACATTCGTTGGCCTCCCTAACTGTCGCTCTGGACCAGGGTCTGTCGTAATGGAATGGTTTGCATTTTTCGCATTCTAGTCCCGCCGTATTATGTTTGCAGTCGCACATAAGTTGTCCATTGCGATCCTGTATGCAACGTGACGCGTGTCCGTTACACTTGCATCGTCCTCCGACGCTAAAATCCGACACGGCATAGAACTGATTCTCCTTATTATTTTCGTCCTTGGTCGTCAATGCATCGGGTGTAAAAAGGCGGTTAAAGACTACCTTAACGTCCGTTGCCGTTACCCAGTCTTGAAGCACGGGGCTGTTGTCGAAATCGTAGGCTGACGGGCGACCTTCAAGCGTGCTGAAAGCGATACGGCCGCCGTTATATGGGTCCGAATGACTATGTGAATCAACGCATAGCGCTTCTTGTTCGTTCAGCTTGGTGATCTCCGTATTTTTCTGGATTCCGTAGAATCGGCGACATTGCGTCGAGTAATACTGATACGGCTGCCACGTTTTTCCATAATCTTGTGATTTATAGATGACCATAGATTCTGGTCGCGCTGAGCAAAATTCCAACGTGATGTACGTTAGCTGGAATTTCTTTCCCAGAACAAGGTGGAGCGAAACATTATGGGGGCTCGTGGAAAACGGTTCCGACTGCCAACACGTCAGATTAGTTGGGTTGTGTAAATCCGTAATGTATTCCGGGGGGTGCATCAGCTTCGGATTCGTGCTATCACAAGTGTCGCATTTGCGTGCGTGCTCACTGTCCATAGCCCTCGTGCAGTGCCTCGTCAGAGCAGTAGTACCACAAGTAGACGAAGCATATACTTTTTTCCCAAACGCTTGGTTTCCAAAATCTGGCATACACCTTTTTGGATTCCCGTTTTCGTCTACACACGGGTTTGCCGGTGTACTCTGCTGTCCGTTGTATAATGCGTTGATAGATTGTATCTGTCGGAGCCCAGTAAGGGCTACCAAAAAGAACAGCGAAATACGCAACATGTTCCGACTATAACAAATAAACAAAAAAGATTTCAAAAATCCTTGATATATACTTTGCAATTATGTCCTATGGTATGGAATACGGTAGCACGAGATATCCAACCTGTGACACGGGGATAAAATACCATATAGCGATGAATTAAATAAAACAAAATTGTCAAAAATGAAAATCCAGTTTTTAGTATATTATGTCCAATCAAATGCTGGAATTTTTTTCGCTGAGGCAACTTGATTCTTCAAATGAAAAACTTCCGATGTAAAATCTCTTCGGTATAAAATTTTATGTTCGTTCTCTTGGTTATCACCATTTGGAGGAAAAACAGAACTTGAAGTATTCTTTCTAGTAGCAGACTTCCCAGTTGTCAGAAAATCCTCGACAAATGAGAAGTTATCGAAAACTTCTCGTAGATTTAATATCTCTCAAGCTATTGGCTGAGGCACGAGACGGCTTAATCGCTGTGTTCGTCTTGCTGTTAGTTTATCACGTGTCTCTTGTCTGTCTTATCATATAGCGTTCAACTTTGAAGTGATTGGGCGGGGCTTGAGTTGCGCACCTTTACCTGTCATTCACCTAGTCGTTGATACGCAGCAAGCAAGCAGGTAAAACGATGTCAGTACACTGTCGAGTGAGCGTTGCGTCGCCAGTTTGAATCGCAATATGTTGCAAACTCGCTCAATTTGTACTTACTTATTTGAACTTCAAAGTTCTTCTGACAAACTGAACGTTGTAAATAACCTTCAATTATTATATCAGCCGCTAATAGGCCAGCTTAAATAGTAATCCATTCTGTGGTAACAACGTGTGAACGCGTTGTTCTGTTTACACATACTGGGTTATAAAAGCGTAAACGCGCTAATTGATAGGCTAAACCCGCCAATAATTTGTTTTATCCCATGTAGTTGATCTTCATACTAATAGGTCTATACTGTACATTTCTCTCGTCGCGTCACCGACCGACTCCTCCACCCCAACCTCCAGTATCCTTAGAGTGACAAACTTCTCTGTGATACTGGTTCTCTCAAAGATACGAGAGAGTAGGCCTACTGTATACAGCCGGGAAGTAATCAATTACAGACAAAATGTTAACCTCGTCTGTCTAATTTAGTAAGATTGGTCGTAGGACGAATTCGTCTGTTGGAGTAGGCTATAGGCCTATACTAATTATATACTAGAAACATATTCATAAATATAAACACGACTTTCCTCTTGAATAAAAAATATAAAAGGCCTATATTTATTTATATACATATACACACACACACACACACACACACAC